ACTTCTCAAAAGAAACTATGCAAGACAGAAGGGCTTGGCACAAAATGTTCGATGTGATGAAAACCCAGGATCTACAACCAAGAATAATTTATCCAGCAAAGTTATCATTTAGAGTCGAAGAAGAGATAAAGAGCTTCCCAGACAAAAATAAGCTAAAGGAATTTATCAACACCAAGCCGGTATCACAGGAAATGTTGGAGGGACTTCTTTAAGAAGAAAAAACATGTAACAAAATATCAATAAAGTATGGTAATAAGTACACTCCTATCAACAAGTATCTCAAATGAAAAAGAATTAGGTGCTTCAACAACCAAAAGATTGAGTAGAAGAAAATGAGACCCCTACATATGCTGCCTACAAGCGACTCACTTCAGATCAAAAGACACACACAGACTAAAAGGAAGGGGATGGAAAAAGATATTGCTTTGATGGACCCAGAGAGTATTGCACTAAATGAAAAAAGTCAGATAGAGAAAGATAAATATAGCATGATTTCACGTACATGTGGAATCTAAAGAACAAAATAACAACAACAAAAACGGAAATAAATTCATAGATATGGAGAATATTTTGAGGTATACTAGATGGCAAGGGGGTTAGGGGAGACGGTGAAAAAGGGTAAAGGGATTAAGTACAAATGGATCTTTAAAAAATAGATATGGAGATATAAAGTTTAGCATAAAGAAAATAATTAATAATGTTGTAATAAATATGTAAAGGGGGAAAAGGAGTACTAGATTTAATGGGGTGATCTCTTTGAGTTATATAGATTTCTAATCACTATGCTGTACAACTAAAAGTAATATATTATTGTATGCCAACTATAATTGAAAAAAACCTCATAGAATTTTACAACGTAAATACGAGCAACTAATTGTCTATTATATTTCAATAAAGCCAGAAAAAAAAGACCAAGTTACAGAGAAAAAAAAAGTAGATCAAATGAAGAAAAAAAAGCACTGATGTTAAATGTTTGAATAACATTTTCACTAAATATCTATACTAATATATGTGATTTTTAATATAGTTATGAGCAAATATATTAAATAATAAAATCATTTGATAATTTCATCTCTATTTCTAGATATTTATGTATACACTACTTTTTAATTTTTTTTCAGATCTTCTAAATGGAAAAATCAGAGATCACTTATAATCAGAGTTGCCTTGTATTGATGCACATACATTTACCGATACGATGAATGATATGACTATGATTTTACAGCTAAGGAGTTAAAGAAGAAATAACTGAACATATATCAGGTACCTACAATATATCAGACCTTGTGCTATCAGCATTTACAGAAAGTATTTCAAGTAATCGCCATTTAGTACTGTGAGATGGGCATATCCTTAAGGACTTGCCTATGGTGAAAGGCTAGTATGCAGCAAAATTAAAACTCAAACCTTATCTTTCTGGCTTAGAATCCATGTTCATTCTACTATAGTATTATTAAGCTTCACTTTATAAGAAGCTTAAACTTCCCTCAGTGTTCCTGAACAGATGGCATTTATCTGTCTACCTGAGTATGGCCACTTCGTTTTGTCAGCTTCACTCTAGTTTGGTCCAGGCAGGGTACATCCCCATAGCGATTCTTCTCTAGGTTTCCTGGAGACCTGAAGAAAATGAAACAAAGAAGTTAAAACAAAAAATAAGTGGGGGCAGTATGTATGTTATGTATAAAGTCTGGCAGTGCAAAGGCAGATGTCAATTACTATTGTGGGTGGGTATATAGAGCTTTTCATTATTTAGTCTATATAATTCTATATCATTTAATATTTTTAATTATAAGTATGTATTACTATGGAAATAAAGATATTTCCATTCAAAAGAGAAAAAGAGAAATAAAGGTACAGCACCAAAAAAAATCTAGCTGCAAATAAAATTTTCTACTACTCATTTCCCAACAGATGTTCAAAATCTCTTAAGTTCCAGTTTAACATGATAGGCTGACAACGTGTTTGATGCCACTCCATCCAGCAGTCTCATTAAAATCAATAAAGGAACTATCACTACAAATCCAAAAAGTGACAGCAGAGATATAAGCAGACAAAGAGATTTATACCCGCTTTGGCAGAGTGAAAACAGATGGCAAGATTTTGGCTGACTTGGCCAACTACAGAAAGCTAGAACCCATAGAGGTATCTACAGAGAGCTATAATGACTCACCCTCAGAACTCCCACACCCTGGGAGGCAAGGTGGGGCACAGGGCTAAAAACAGAGGTATAAAAGAAAATCTGAATGACAGACAGAATCTCTTGCTCTCTGCTCCCTGTCCTATCCTGTCTTATACTCATATTCAGGCATATCTTGCCCTACCAGGCAAGATAGTGGAGACTTCCTCTCTAGAGAAAGTGAATAGCCATACGTAAAAGAATTCTGTCATTTGGAAACACCAACAACAAGCTAGCTGATCATTTTAATTTGAAGTTCACCCATGCTAATCTTGCTTCCAAGCAACTTTTAAGAACCCCATTCCTAAATGTAAACAAACAGCCAAAGATCTCCAGATAATTAAGGAAAGCCTGTAACACAAAACAGAATCAATAAGAGAAAATGAGTTCAAAAAAGCCTATAATAACCTGCACACATGAAAAAAGAATAGGATGCTATGAAAAAAGAAGAGAAGAAAAGCTCTTGGAAATATAAAATGATATCTAAAATAAGAATTTTGATAGAAAAGACGAGAACTTTGAGGAAATTTCCAAACTATAAATCAAGAAGTCAAAGTGATGAAAAATATGAAAAATTTAAGAAAATAAGAGAATCATTCTAGACAAGGGTCAGCAAACTTCAGCTTAGCTATGCGTTTTTATAAATAAAAGTTTTATTTTAACACAGCCAAGCCCATCAGCTTAGTACTGTCTGTTGCTGCTTTTGCACCATAATGGCAGAGTTGAGTACTTGCAACAAAGACTATAAAGGCCCACACGCCTAAAATATTTATTAGCTTGCCTTTCTTAAAGTTTGTCAATCCCTGTTCTAGGAGGTCTAACCAAAATAATAGGATTGTCCCAGAGAAAGAAATGACATAATACAAGGAAAGAAAAAAAAAAATGTAAAAAAGTCCTAGAACTGAAGAACACAACCCTTCAAAGTAAAAGAATCTATCAAGCACCTGATAAAATTAATGATAAAAAGGACCCATACCAAGGCACATCATTGTGAAATTTTAAAATCCTCAAAGAAAAAAACATCATTTACAAAGACTTGAGAAAGAATAAGAATAGCATCAAACTAGTAGCATTGCTAATAATTAGAAAATCACTGCTTTAACAATTCTTAGGTAAAATTATTTCCAACCTAGAATCCTATCTTCTAATGAAACAGAATATACATAAAGAAGATAGGGGGTCCAGGAAACGAGAGCCAATAAAGGAAAGTGGGGAGGGGAAACTGCAGGGCAAAAGCTGATGAGCAAGTCTAGACAACAACCAATCACAGTTTAGACTGGAGCAAAGAATCCAAAAAGTTCCAGAGTGAGGTCTACAGGGAAAAAAATAAAACCTGCTGATTAGCTGATATATTTGACCACTTGGAAAATGATAGCGTAAAATAAATCTGACTAAGCATAAAAAAAAATAAGCTTAGGTAAATAGATAACTAAAAGCAAATTTAAAAAATGAAGTCACTAACTCCTGAATGAAAAAATGGAATTGATAAGATTTAAAATATTTGATTATTTCACAGAAGCCCACTTAGCTCTGTAGTAAAAACATTTACAGGCATGATAATGTAAACACTGACTACTGATTAATAAAAAATTGTGACATTTTGAAAAAACGGTCAAAAGGGAACTGGAAATAGAGTACAAGAGCTAAATGCTTACCTACCATAAAAATCAATAAAAGTATTATAAACATTTTATTTAGACATACAGAAGATATACCGAAAGAAAGCTACAAGAGTTGAAAACGGATATGGAACTGAGGTTTAGGCAAGAGATTGCTGTTTATTTTGTCATTGCTTTTTTCTTTGGTAGTACTTAGTTTTGAAAAATGTATTTGCAAGCTAAGAAGGGTGGGGCCTGGTTAGTACTTGGATTGGAGACCACCTAGGAAGACCAGATGCTGTAGGCATAAAAAAGAAAAAAGAAAAAAAAAAAAGAAAAATTTTTTGCATATATATTGATTAAAAGCAAAAGAAAATTACAAAGACCACTGACATAAAATAATATTCTATATTGTTTATGGGTACAAATGTATATGTAACAGTATAAACTAAATGGACTGGAAAGAAATATGCCCTATTCAAACTAGTGGGTGCTTATGGGAGTGAGAACTGGGAGTGAGGATTAGAAGGCATTTCGACTTTATAAGAAACTCTTTCTTTCATATAATATGAAGCAAATACGACAAAATATTGAGCATTGTCAGTATCAGTTCTGGTGATGGGAACATAGTTGTCTGTCATGTTATACTCTGTACTTTTCCATATTTTAAAAAGTCCCTCTTTCAACACAAACAAACCCAGCTAACATTTTACAAAGTTTGATGGAGGAAGGATACTCTTTTCAACAAACGGTGCTGGAGCAATTACATATCCATAGACAAAACACAAAAACAAAACAAAACAAACTCAACCTAAAAATACCGCCTTATACAAAAATTAACTGATCACAGACTTAAATGTAAAACATAAAACTATAAAACTTTTAAAAAAGAAAAAACAGGAGAAAGTCTCTGAAATCTAGAGTTAGGCAAAGTGTTCTCAGACTTGATGCCAAGGGCATGATCCATAAAAGGAAAAAACCTGAGTAAATGGACTTCATCAAAAAAAAAAACTTTTGCTCTGCAAGAGACCCTGTTAAGAGGATGGAAAGACAAGCTATAGATTGGAAGAAAATATTCACAAACCATGTATCCAACAAAGAATCAATAGCTAGAATATATAAAGAACTCTCAATAGTTTTTTAAAAATCCAAATAAAAAATAGGCAGAAGATATGAAAACGCATTTTACAAAGAGGATATACAGATGGAAATAAGCTCATTGAAAGATGTTTAACATCATTAGCAATTAGGGAAATGTAAATTAAAAATGTAAATTAAAACACAATGGGATCTCATTACACAACTACCAGAACAGCTAAAATAAAAAACTGTGACATCAAATGCTGGTGAGGTTGCAAAGAAAATGAGTCACTCATACATTGTTGGCAGGTAAGTAGAATGGTACAAGCACTCTGGAAAACAGTTTCTCATAAAACTAAACAAATTGCCATATGACCTAGCAGTTGCACACTTGGACGTTCATCTCAGAAAAATGTAAACTTATGTTTACACAAAACCTAGACACAAACATTCATAGCAGCTTTGCTTATAATAGAAACTGGAAACACAGATGTCCTTCAACGGTGAATGGTTAAACAAACAAAATACTACTCAACAATAAAAAGGAATGAATTCTTGAAAAATATGACAACTTAGGTGAATCTCTAGTGAATTATAGTAAGTGAAAAAAGGCAATCCCAAAGGTTATATATAGTATGATTCCATTTATATAATACCATTCTGAAAATGACAAAATTATAGTAATGAAGAATGGATTAGTGGTTGTAGCAGTTAAGGATAAGGAGGGGTGGGATGGAGGTATGTGGTAATGGAATTCTGTATCTTTTCCTGTGGTGATGAATACACAAACCTAAATATATGATAGAAATTGCATGGAACTAAATACATACACACACAGGGAAAATCTAAACAAGACTGGCAGATTGTATCAGTCAAGATCTGGTTGTGATATATTGTTATACTTTTAGAAGATGTTACCATGGGAAAACTGTGGAAAGGGTACAGGTGATCTCTCTGTATTATTTCTAACTGCATGTGAATCTATAATTATCTCCTAATAAAAAGTTAAATTAAAAAAAAATCTTTTTAAAAAATGGTGTAGGGAGAAGATAAAAGGAGAGAAAGTCTCTTGGTTCAAGGGCATCCTGTACAACAGTGAGTACTTTGATATCTATTTCATAAGTTTAATAAAGCTAGAATTCCAAGGGAGTTTGTTCTGTATAAGTAGTTCTAAGACAGAAGCCTGGAGCTGATGAGGATTCTGGGTTCTAGCTCCTGACGTGGCTCATTCATTCAGTAAAGAGGGAAGATTAGGAAGTCCTTCCATAGGACTGGAATGTGTTCTCTAATTATAACATGATAGCTGGTTTGGGTGATGCCAAGAAGACAATTCAAACCTGCTTTTTTAATGGGAGAAAGGGGGGACGTGGTAGAAATGACATCTCAAGGATCGCACAGCAGAAGCACCTAGAGCAAGTTAGGAAATCCCAAAGATAAGTGTACATCCTCTTGGAGCAGTCCAGAGCGCCTTCTTGTTCCATAACCCTTCCTTGATTCAAAACTACAGGGGTAAAAAACTGGTTGGAAAAAATACTGGATGCATGTAGGGGTCTTAAGCTGAGAGAGAAGAAACAAGGCTGTGTGGGAGAAAAAGATATTCTCCCTATTTGATGGTCTGCTCTTTTTCTTTTCTGACTTTCCTTTGCATTCTTCATCTGCTTATTGATATTTTTCTCAGTTGTTTCTCTCTCACTTCCCTTACCTGTTTCCTAACTCATTTCTCTCTTTCCTTTTACTAAAAGGTTCTCTCCCTGCATCTTCTTTACAGCACACTGAATTAGCTGGACAGGAATTACAAGATAGAAGAGGTACTCGCAGAATCATGGATTCCTAAAACATTTAAGCTACAGAAGAAGGTATCAGAGTCTAACATCACAGGAAAAACTGAGGTGCAGAGAAGGAAAATAACTTGTGTAAGTCACAGAGGGGATTTTTGGATAAGCTGGAACTTGAGCCTGGGACCCACTGGGACAGCTTTCCTAATTTTCAACAGACAGAGCTCAACTTGGAGAGAAAGAATTGTCTGCTGCTGCCAATGAAAGCATAGTAATATAAATCAGAGCATCAGTAAGAAATATCTACACTCTATTGCCAACAATAGTTATCAAGTAGCTATGAACCAGTTATAAACTAACCAGGTGGTTTTGTGATATAATTTAGGTTCAATGAAAATCCCATGAGGCTAATTCCTAAGAGGCAGCTTTTCTTTATTACTATGAATTACTTTGAAAGTACCGGCACCCCTTCCTCAGAAAGTAATGTTATACTATAAATGCTTTAGAGAGAAACTGCCCAAATGAAAAGACCAGAGATCACAATGAGGACGGGAATAGAAAGCCTACATTTTTGTTTTTTTCCTAAAACACCTGCATTTCAGGAAAATGTCAAAAAATGTGTCCATTATTATAGGGTTCCCCTTGTGGTACCAAAGACTGTCAGATATTTCAGAGCATAGCATATTGGTAAAAAGCACCAAAGTAGGAGGTGACTCTTTCTGGAGGACAGAAACCGGTATCTAAGTGAGAGTGATGTTCCATAACATAGAGTCTCTGTTAAAGAGGTGTGGAAGGAGCTGTTGCCAGCACATGCCAGAAGCATCTTGGTTGGCTCAAACCTTTCCTACTTACATGGAACAGTGGAAAGTGCCAACAGGGTTCTCACGACGGATGTCTTCATACTCCTCATATATCCCCTGCTTTTGCCTGGTGCTAACATAATCCATCAACTCTTGGATGGTCATGGCCTGGGGACCTGGAACATGTACTGAGTCCCAGTCTAAGGCAGGAGGGAGGGAGAACAGGATGATCTCATCGAAGGGATCCGGGTGGCCGTTCACCTGGGGTAGGAACTGGAAATTCCAAGTGGCGAGGTCAACTTTGACGTACCCACCCAGGTTTTCTGGAAGGCACTCCCTGGGCAGGTGCTGAGTGACCTCAGATGTCTTTAATATCTGAATCTGGAAGGCCAAAAAGAACCATGTGAGTATGTGGGGGAAAGAAAGGCAAATAGTAAAGATAAAGAACAAATGTGCTTATATTAGGTTTGGAGAAGGGGATGAGATTTGCATGAAATACTTGGTATACTTGTAAAAGTAGACTACTTCATCTGCCTGGGGTTGACATCCTATGAATTTTCCAGACAAAGGTTTGACTTTGTATCAAATTCAGTCCTGGAAGTAGGGGCTTTGTTATATACCTTCTGAAAGGAAGGTATAGTGATCAACGGTTTTATACTGTTAATAAGACTTCCCAGTTCAATTTGACACACGTATTTGCCTTGTGACAACCAAGAATGTGAAGGTAGTGGTTATTTTTGTCAACTAAGCCTGTGCTTTACTCATAGCTTGGTATGATAGGCTTCTATGAAAGTAAGACAAGACCAGGCACTCAAACCAGGGTAGCCCAGGAAGAACGCTAGAGAAGTCATTGTAGTACTAAATTCTGCTCTCTGCTGAGCCACAGCCATACTGAACCAAATTAGTCTAGTTGGTTGTCCTTGGCATCTGTGTGGAATGAGGATGCTGATCTCTCTTGCTGTTGCCTCTTCCTGGAATGCTCTCTTTTCTCCTCAGCCTCTTCAAGGACAGCTTATAGTTCATGAAATCTGTCTGCCAGAGGCAATGTTCTCCCCCATCCTCCTGCAGAGCCACAGTCCTCTGCACTTGTCTGAGTCTGTGTCCCCTATCAGGACTGAGACTTGCTCCAGGGTAAGGATGGTCTCACTCAACTTTTCATTCCCAGGGCTAAGAGCATGGACTATAAAAGTGTTCAATATTTTGAATGTATACACACATTTATACTTGTATATAAAAGTGCAAGAATTTGCCTAAGGAGTCCTCTCACAGAGTTATCTTGGGAAAGATCTCTTCAACTGAGTCACCATATCCCTCAGTAGTTCCACAGAACCACACATCTTCAGTTTCCCCTCTCCAACCCAAGTCATCTCAGCTATAAAGACCTGCATTGTTATTATTCATATAACCTCATAATCCTATACTACAAAAATCTCTGATAATATTTCACAACAACTTTATTATTTTATCCTATTATGTCGATGTTTCATATGCCCTTTCTTTCAAGGGTGAGAATGAATGGGTAAATGAGTGAAATCATAATCTTTCAGTCCTGGAACACTCAGGGGATGACAATAGAATTAAGAAAATTTTAGACAACACTTCTGTGTTGTAAGGAAGTTAGGAAGCAATGAGCTATTTTAAAAGAAAACGCCAGGAATGTAAGTAGAAAAATAGTGAGAGACTCTCTGCCACCTTGGTGGTTGAAGGGACTGAATAGTATTTCCAGTTGAACAAATTGAAATACCAGTTCAACTAATGCAGTTATTTAGCCATTGTTAAATATTAAAGGCCTGTATAGAACTAGGCTAAATTTTGGAACAGTAGCCACTGCTAAGTTACCTATGGGACACAATCCTTCAGTACTATCATTATGCAAAGTGCCATGGAGGTGGAGTGCCAGATATAAACTATGTCCAGTTCCTAACATCAAGGAACTTGTAGTACAGTGGGAGAGGCAGCTTGTACTGAGCGAGAAAAGAATAAAGCAGAGACCACAAGTGAATATACTAACAAAAGCAGAAAGTGTTCTAGGAGATAAGACAGGAGGATTTTTTTGAAGGTAAAAAATTAATTGGCAAGTTTCAACAGTATGGGATTCTATCCACCTCCAAATAAAATAAAGCTAGGTTGCCTTACCCTCTCCCGAACTTTGTCCTTCAGGAGGAGGCTGATGATGGAATAGGGCACTCGGAACCATATGGGTGCTCCCACAATCAGCACTTTCTTCAAACGAGCTGGAAATGCTCCCTGTGGAGAACACATATGAGTATTTCAACATACCGGTTAGTTACTTACAAAGGAGCACCCAGAAGACTGGCAGCTGATTTCTCAAAAGAAACTATGCAGGACAGAAGATCTAGGCACAAAATATTCGACGTGATGAAAATCCAGGATCTACAACCAAGAATAATTTATCCAGCAAAGCTATCATTCAGAGTTGAAGAACAGATAAAAGAGGTTCGAAATGTTGGAGGACTTCTTTAAGAAGAAAAAACATGTATCAAAAACAGGAATAAAGAATGGTAATAACTACATTCCTATCAACAAGTACCTCAAATGGAAAAGAATTAAATGCTCCAACCAAAAGATAGAGTGGCTGAATGGATAAGAAAACAACACCCCTACATATGCTGCCTACAAGCGACTCACTTCAGCTCAAAAGACACACACAGACTAAAAGGAAGGGGATGGAAAAAGATATTGCCTTGATGGACCTAGAGGGTATTGCACTAAATGAAAAAAATCAGATAGAGAAAGACAAATGTCGCATAATTTCATGTACATGAGGAATCTAAAGAACAAAATAAACAACAACAACAAAAGTGGGAATAAACTCATAGATACAGAGAATATTTAGAAGATATTAGATGGGAAGGGGGTTGGAGGGTGAGGAAAAAAAAGCAAAGGGATTAAGAGGTACAAATGGATAGTTGCAGAATAGACAAGGCAATGTAGAGTGTAGCATGGGGAAGATGGTTAATAATGTAATAAATATGTAAGGGGAAAGAAGGGTACTAGATTTAGTGGGGTGACCGCTTTGCAAGTTATGTGGATCTCTGATTACTAGGTTGTACAACTGAAACTGGTATATTATTGTATGCCAACTATAATTGAAAAGAACTCATTGAATTGTACAATGTAAATATGAACAACTAATTGTCTATTATATTTCAATAAAGCCGGGAAAAATTTTTTAAAAATAATCATAAAAATGTGCTAAAGCTCATTCATAATTTAAAGAACACCAAATAAATTCATAAATATGATTAAAATCCAAATAATGATGTTGATGAGGCTGGTAAAAAATATGTTGATAGGAGTGTAAATTTGAACTAAGTTTTTAAAAGGTTATTTGGCAATATTTATCAAAATTTTAAATGTATGTATATACTCTTTGACTCTACAAATTCACTTACAGAAATTTACTCTGAGGAAGAGATTGGTCAAATATACAAGAATATATGTAAAACGATGCTCACTGAAGCTTTTATAAATGACAAAAAAATGGCATATACCTCATTTTTTCTGCTTTGTATAGACATAAAAAGGAATACTCTGCAACCATTAAAAAAAGTGAGGAATAAAATAAGTAAGAGCTATATGTATTAACACAGAAAGATGATAAAGATACACTGTTAAGTAAAAACTAGCAAGTTACAACCACTGGATATAATATAACTCCATATTTGTAAGGAAAAAAATATCATAAATTATCCTCATCCTGTATGTGTATACATACATATATACATTTTAAAAGCCTGAACATATGTACCCCAAGCTCTTTATAATGATAATCTCCAAGGGAGAGAATTATAAGTAGTATCTTAGTTCTGTCACTTAATAGACTGTATTACCATTGTTAAGTTTTTAAGTTCTCCAGGACTAAGTTTCTAGATCTGTAAAATGGAGATAGTAATAGTAACAGCCATCATACCTCATAGTAATGATGTCAGGATTAAATGTTTTAAAGTAGTGGTCCCCAACCTTTTTGGCACCAGGGACCGGTGCTCCTAGGAGAATCTGACACCTGATGATCTGAAGTGGAGCTGAGGCGGTGATGCTAGTGCTGGGTGCAGAATGGGGAGGCTTCGCTCCCTTGCCCAGCCTGCCGCTCACCTCCTGCTGTGCGGCCCAGTTCCTAACAGGCCAAGGACCTGTACCTGTCCGTGACCTGGGGGTTGGAATCCCCTGTTTTAAAGCATGAAAAGCATTCAGTAAGTGTTAATAATTATTACATTATAAGTGTCTGCATTAATGAATTTTTTTAAATCTACGTATTTTAGCTATGTGTTTCAGCCATGCATTTCCTAATCAGAATATAAATAAAGATTTACCCTTCAGGGGATGAATTCCACATTGTCTGGTTTAAATGTTCATCTAAATAATTATACAGTTAAGAATCCATATGATGGCAACTAAAATACAAGTTATGACATTTCAAATTTAAACCAGAATTTAATCCTAAGATATTTACCAAGATGGGGAAAATCTACTCAGAGCAATTTAAAAAGTCAAAGATTATTGTTTTTATTCTAGTGCCATATTTTGATCTAAATCCTCATCACACTTACTGCTGGAAATTAATTAATACTAAATAGATATCTGAAGTGTGAAACCATGCATTAAAGATAAACTTCTATTTACAACTTTCATGAGAATGAGGTTGGTAGAGGATTATATTTAAAGTTTTATCTGTTCCCAGCAGCTAAGTCAATAATAAGATGATGATATAGGTTCTAAAGCAACAGGACTTCATTTCAGCCTTTTTGAATTCATACAGTAAAAACAAAACATTTACAGTACTTCATTATTTTGAACCAAATGAAGGACACACAAAAAACAAGAACATTTGAAAAAAATATACAACTGAACATTTGAAAAAATATACAACTTTGTTATTGCTTAAAGGAGTTTGAATGAACAAACAAAAAAGAAGGTATCATTTTAGAATTTCTAAATTCAAAAGCAGAGAAAAATTATATAGAGTGCAGTATGGGGACGGTTCAAAGAAACAGATAATCATACTTGTTGGTAACAATGTAAATTTTTTTCCCACTTTTATGGAGGGTAACTTAGTGATGTATAAGAGAGATATAAGAATATTTATAATCTTTATCCAACGAATCCAAGTCTTAGAAGTACCTTCTTAAAAAGAGTAAAAGCTAAAATGATCATGACAGCATTATTTAAATCTAAAAACAACTTGAATAATACAGAAAGACAGTTAGATGCTTAATTAAATTGTCTATAATATTTTACCTTACCAAGTTATTGTGACTTTGTTAAAACTCACAGTTTAAATTGTGGAAAGGAGAAACTATTTAATATG